CTGGAACTAGTATACACCCTGATCCCTATCAAGAGAGGTTTGGGGTTTAGGGTTTCGGGTTTAGGGTTTGGGGTTTGGGGTTTAGGGTTTACGGTTTAGTAAGGTTTAGGGTTTAGTGTTTTGGGTTTTTTGTTTATGGCGAGCGGCCAAAGAGGTACTTGCACACCGGCTCCCGCGCAGCTCGGCTGTAGCCCATGTGCAGCGGGTTCAAACCCAGGATCTTCAGAGCCGAGTACCTGGAAGGACACTCTCAGGCTTAGGGGTTTAGGGTTTAGGGCTTGGGGTTGAGGGTTTAGGGTTTAGGGTTTAGGGTTTAGGATCTAAGGTTTAGGGTTTAGGGTTTAGGGTTTAGGGTTTAGGGCTTCGTCGCCCTAGTTCCTAAAGTTTGGGTTAGGGCTGAGGGTTGAGCGCGACTCTGGGTTTCAGAATGAAACTTCTGGGCAAAGAGGATGTAGGATTCAACGCTTGGACTTCTCACTTTACGTGCTTAGGGGTTAGGGGTTAGGGGTTTAGGGGTTTAGGGTTTAGGGTTTGGGGTTTAGGGTCTAGGGTTTAGGGTTTAGGGTTTAGGGTTTACGTGCTTAGGGTTCAGGGTGTGGGGTGCTTACGCTCCAGGGGCTGGGAAAGCCGATGCTCCTCCATGAGACTCCAGAAGCTTTCTGCTGTAGCTGTTGCTTTGTCGAGGGTCAGCCCTAACCCGAACCCCGATTCGCGTAACCCAAGCTGCTCTAAACCCTAAACCCTAAACCCAAGTGGGAGACTCGACCCAGACATCCGTTTAGGGTTTAGGGTTTTGGGGCTTAGGGGGGCTGAAGATATCACCCAGTCCAAGCATAGGTTTGGGGTTTAAGGGCTATGGGTTTTTTCTGTTCTCATATCAGTACGAGCATGCATTAGGCCCGAAGACATGCACATTCATCTCATGAATAGTAGGAGCCAATAGAAGTGCCTAACTTGAGCACATGCCCTAAACCCTAAACCCTAAACCCTAAACCCTAATCCCCCAAGACAGGCTCCCACAGTACTCGCTCGGGAAAGAAGGGCCGCAATCTATATAGGTCCCTATAGTTCTCCGCCCCTACTAAGCACCAAGGAGGAGATGAGGACAGTTTGGGGTTTGGGGTTTAGGGCTTAGGGTTTAGGATTTAGGATTTAGGGTTCAGGGTTTAGGGTTTAGGGTTTAGGGGGTGGGGGGGGGGGGGGGGGCATGGTTTGCGTCCCTGTCCGCGGGGCGCCAGCATAGAGCACCTGAGGGGTAGATAGAACATTCTACGTCATATTCGATGCCACACAGACGAAGCATGTAGGTGTTGCGCAAACAGCAAGCACAGTAAACGCCACTGTGCAAAGAGTATACGGCCCTGCGGAAAGTTCGTCTGCTTTGCCGAAGGGCCTCGAAAGCACCGCATCTGCCGAAGGCGGCCAGGAACAAAGCCGCGACCCTGACATCCCTCATGGCTCCAGGGCTCGAGTTCTTAGTAGGAAACTGAAGAATTAGGTTCCTTGTACCCCCATATACACATGCGTCGGAGTTCTCGCCCACCCCCCCTCCCATGCTATCCCGCTGAACCTAAACCCTTAACTTCAAGGGAAACCCTAAACCCGCCATGAAGGGAAACCCTAAACCCACTAGCTCCTTTAGATCATCGGGCAGGCCTTCTGGCTCACATTCATTATGGAACAAGGGTTTGGGGTTTAGGGTTTAGGGTTTAGGGTTTAGGGTTCAGGGTTCAGGGTTTAGGGTTTAGGGTTTAGGGTTTAGGTTTAGGGTTTAGGGTTTAGGGTTTACGGTTTAGGGTGTAGGTTCGTTTGCTGGAAGCGTGTGGGACTTCACGCTTGGACCAAGTGCAGATGCCGGCAAAGAAACCGCACAATCCTTCCCTGAACCCCAAACCCTAAACCCTGAACGCTAAACCCTAAACCCGAAAATTCAGGTGTGCCGCCAAACCCGAAGCCTCAACCGCCAACCCCCCTTTCTTTCCATCAGCTGCTTCTGCCAGAACTCAGGACAAAATATAAAAATGTACCCCTGCACCCAATCCGTCTGAGGTATCTGCTGCGACATTTGAAAATTGGCATTCGGATTTCGAGCTCAGATTCAATCGATTCTTGATTCTCTCAATTGACTCCCGCACCTTCTTGGATGCGTCACATGTAGGAAAACCTGATGAACTGAGACCCGAAACACTAAACCCTCAGCCCTAAACCCTAAACCCTAAACCCTAAATCCTAAACTTGCTTCGCCTTCCACACTCAAGACGTCGGCCCGCTTGTCCCCAAAACCCTAAACCCTGAACCCTAAATCCGCAACCCGAAACCCTATTCGAATTTTCGTAGTGCTTCGCTGCTCCCAGGCTTTGGGAACTTCCGGAGGTGAAACTGGGTTTAGGGTTTTGGGTTTAGGGTTCGGTTTAGGGTTTAGGGTTTAGGGTTTAGGGTTGAGGGTTGAGGGTTAGGGTGCACGGGTCGAGACATTGGAGTCTAGCAAGAGAGCTTGCGGGCTTAGGGCTTCACATGTGCGAAAGATTTAGGGCGTAGGGTGTGGTTGATAAACGCTGCACTCTAAACCCTGACCCTAAACCCTAAACTCTAGAGTCTAGACCCTTAAGCCCTAAATCTCCAAACCATAAACCCTAAACCCTAAACCCTAAATCCCTACATCGCCAAATCCCTAAGTCCCTAAACCCTAAACCCTATCCCTAAACCCGCGCATCCCCTACACCCTAACGGTTCTCTTCGCGCTCGTGCCATCGTCCCACTTCATGTCCACGGTGACCTGCAGCAGGCCCCAGATATCGAAGCTCTGTGGTCTCAACCCTGAACTCCACATGATCAGGATTCAGGATTTCGGGTTTCGGGTTTCGGGTTTAGGGCTTAGGGCTTAGGGCTTAGGATTTAGGGTTTAGGGATTACGGTTTAGGGTTAGGGTTCATGAAACCCTTGCGAGACCCTGAAAGAAACCTTGCAGGGGAACCTTCCAACACCATGCCGAACGCTTCGGGCCCGACCCCCCGAAAGCCTTAAAACACCTGAACCACAAAACCCTAAACCCTAAACCCTAAACCCTAAACCCTAAACCCTAAACCCTAAACCCTAAACCCTAAACCCTGCACCGGCCACCTCGCTGGCTGTGCGACAGGCCACAGACCATGTGCCCCTCTTTTCATTTTTCCTGGTGGAGGACGACTCGGAGCCTCAGCTTCAGAAGGAGATGAGGGCTTCTTGAAGGTAGTGTTCAGGGTTTAGGGTTTAGGGTTTGGGGATTGGGGTTGGGGTTTAGGGTTTAGGCTTTAGGTTTTAGGGTTTAGGGTTTAGGGTTTAGGGTGGGTTTAGGGTTTAGGGTCTAGGGTCTAGGGTCTAGGGTCTAGGGTCTAGGGTCTAGGGTTTAGGGTTTAGGGTTTAGGGTTTAGGGTTTAGGGTTTAGGGTTTAGGGTTAGGGTTTAGGGTTTAGGGTTTAGGGTTTAGGGTAGGGTTTAGGGTTTAGGGTTTAGGGTTGGGTTTAGGGTTTAGGGTTTAGGGTTTAGGGTTTTTAGGGTTTAGGGTTTAGGGTTTAGGGTTTAGGGTTTAGGGTTTAGGGTTTAGGGTTTAGGGTTTAGGGTTTAGGGTTTAGGGTTTAGGGTTTAGGGTTTAGGGTTTAGGGTTTAGGGGGGTGCTTACTGTTACGTCCAGAAGTTAAGGATCCTGCTGCTTGGGTTCTCCACTGCCCTGCCTGCGCTTCTGCTTTAGGTTTCCTGACTGAGGCTTGGGATGTTCCCCCTCATACTGACAGTCCTTCATAGCGATGATAGTACCCTTCTTAGACTCCCAATGAGTGACTGCTAGTTTTCGGGAGACCCTAAACCCCAACCCTAAACCCATCCCAACCTGAGACACTGATGGAAGGAGACCGGCTTCAGAGGAGTTCGGGCTGATGATCATGGTGGTGATGATGATCATGGTGGTGATGATGATGATGTCATAATAAGATGCTCGATGTGCACAGACGCCGACACAACACGTCAGAAGCTTGGCATGCTTTGGGGTATGGCAGGCTTCTGGGAGCGTTGGCTTGGGTACTTGGGGAGGTTCAGGACTTAAGCAGCTGGACAAGCCGAAGGAAGGTGAGCCTGGCCGTTGGGTTTAGGGTTTAGGGTTTTTTAGGGGGTCAGGGGTTTTTAAAGGGTTTTTTTTGGGGGGGGGTTAGGGTTGTTTGGTGTTTTGAAGTTTTGGTGTTTTGAAGTACGTCTGAAGAACCCAACTCCCTTGCAGTCTTTCGAGAAGAACAAGCATTCTGGTCACTAGGTCATGGAAATGGCGTGTACGGCTACGGACCGACAGGGCCTGACACAGAATCGAATTCCGCATGTTTCTTCTAGAGTTGTTGATATATGAAATCTTCCGAAGACCCGTACTGGCTGGGTAGCTGCTAGTCTCGGTCATCAGCTTGGTCCTAGACCCAAAACCCTAACCCCTGAACCCTAAACCCTATTACGGTAACTATAAGACACCATTCCCCAACCGTGAACTCCTTGAAGTTCCAACCGTCGTTCAAGCCCTAAACCCGAAAACGCTTTAAGCTCCCCAAACCCTACACCGTCAAACCCAGGCATTCTGGAATTGACTGTACACTCTTCTAGACCTTAAGCGCAAGAGCCTGAACCCAATTCCTAAGCCCCGAAGCCCGAACCCCTCTGCCATTTCCAGGCAGAAGCATACCTAAATATAGAATTCGTATCATGTTATCAGGGTCTCTAATTAACATACCCCCGTCGTTTGAAGAAGCCCCAACAAAAAAACCTAAACAAGAATCAATAAAACGTTCAAGTCTTAAAGACAAGTATAAAACCCCTCAAACCGAAGTCTCACAAACGCGATCCGCGAAATGTTACGAAAACCCAAACCCTAAACCCTAAACCCTAAACCCTAAACCCTAAACCCTAAACCCTAAACCCTAAACCCTAAACCCTAAACCCCAAACCCGAACCCTAAACCCTATAAACCACTTCTTGCAGCTGCCTCAC